TTTGTATTGAGTTATGCCCTTTATATTTTTGTGAGAGTCAGTCTTGTTATGTTAGAAGAAATGGTGGAGTTTGGTTTGAAATGGTAATGTTTAATTTATCCCTAAATATTTATCTTTCAATTCTAGTGTCTCATCTAATAATTCATCAGGTAGATCTAAAATTATGTATCTTCCAGGCATACCAATATATGTGAAGAATGTAGAGAAGCATACCTATAGCTAATTCTCTTTTTTACACACCTGTTCCCTTGCTTATTTTTTTACTGCTATTATTATTATTTTTATACCTAAAATCTAAACATTAGGATACATACTAGTTTGAAGATGATAGTAATTAAAATAAAATTAATTAAAATTTACTTTAAATCAAGTTAGCCTCATTAGAAATAAATTGCTTCCTGAGGGGACTGTTCCTGTGAAATCTGTGAGTTTGTACCTGTACAAGAGATGTAGATCAGTTTGCAACAGTTACATATTTTCACCTAAAAAGCCCAACCAACCAACCAACCAACCAAAAAAACAAAACAAAACAAAACAAAACAAAAAAAACAAAAAGAAACGTCTTTCTTGCTCAAACCTGCTAAATCGTATCTAATATTACAGTTCTCAAATTCTGTCAGTTAATGTTTCTCAACAGTGCTTCAAAATAGGATCATCTGAATTTTGTTTTTAATTTTATCACAGTTGTTTCCTCTGCCTCTGACTTAATGTTGGAAATCACATAAGTGAATTATTAAATACCAGCAAACTCAGGTTTGGTAAGTTATAAATAAACTTCTTGGTTTTACCCTATTCTTTTGTGAGGTAAAAATTGTTGAAAAAACACACTCCATAGGGACTTCAAGGCACATAATACCTCTCTGTCCCAGTACTAGTTCGTAACTTACCTGAACATTTGACCTGTTTTGAGGATTTGTACTTCTTTTAAGGGGAGCTTTGCCAGACCTGACTTTAAGTCACAGTATTCCTCCATGACAATGAAAGCACTTTACTTATTTTCAGGATCCTTTCCACTCGTGCTCTAGTGTTCAGTTTTTTCCTAGATTACTTATTCATAGGACTTGGAAACTGTAAGAATTTTTTAAAGGAGGAGGGATGTGAGGAAGATTTATATGATGGTGATGTTGCAGGTTTAGAACACTCACCATGTAATAGGATGATGGCAGTGGTGTTGCTTTGCTGAGTTCCAACAGGCTGTGGGGTGATTTTTGAAAAGCTTGTTGTGCTTGTTGTGCTCCTCTGTGCCCGTAAGCAGAGATCATAGAATCACAGAATGGTTTAGGTTGGAAGGGATCTCAAAGGGTACTCAGTTCCAATCCCACTGCTATGGCCAGAGCTGTCACGCGCCAGACCAGGACCCAGGGTCCCATGCAGCCTGGCCAGAAGAGACAGGCCAAAGCAAGTGTACGTCTTTTGGTAAATGTAAAAGGAGAACTGGCTTAAATGGATGAGGAAAAGGCTGAGGTACTGAATGAATTCTTTGCCTTGGTCTTCACTGGCAGCCAATATTCTAATATTTCTCACGTCCCTGAGCCCTGCATCCCTAAACCTCTAGGTGGGGGCCAGGGGAGTAAATCCCTCCCCAGTGTGAGGGCAGAGCAGATGGGGGAACTCCTCATGAGACTGAATGTGTACAAGTCTATGGGGCCGGATGGCGTCATCCCAGGGTTCTGAAGGAGCTGGCTGAGGTCTCTGAGGTCTGATTTCTAGACACTTCTGAGGCACTGCTAATTTTTGCTAGCTGGATTTTCTTCATCCTTTGGAAAGAAGAGTACTTACCTGTAAAATGACCATGTGTATATACCATATCAGTAATGTCTGAGACCTGTGTTCTTTCTCTTTTCTTGAGTATGGCAGAGGACTGATACTGATTTTTAACCTTGAGAGGAGACAGCAAGCCTGCACAACCTGAGGATGAGGAGAATGTACTTCCTGCATCAAAGTATTAGCCAAAAAGCCTACCTTGTAAGAGACTGAAGATTTAAGTTTGCTTAGTATTGCTAAGAATGTAAACAAGTATATGCTGGAATACATTTGGAATAAGGGAGAAAGTATTGTCCCTCAGTTACCACAGATGGACACATATCTCATAGGTTTGGAAATATCCTGAGTATATATATATATGTATGTATATATATGTATATCCTGAGTATATATATACATGTATATTTGCATCATGAGGTAATTTATAAGAAGGAATGCCAAGAGCAAATCTGGAGTTGTAAATTTCTTCATTCATCTATGTTTGGTGCTGTTTGTGCTTAAGGAAACCTGTGAATTCTACTTCAGTTTCTGTCTACTCGTTAAGGCAAAACTCCTTATAAAGATCACAAGACTTGATTCAGCATTGCCTTATGCAGTCTGTGAAAGCAGTGAAGAGATGAAAGGTGTTTATGACTCAGAATGATTTTGCCTATGCATTTGCTCTTGTATAAGTGACTGTAGAACACAGAGATCAAAGAAGAGGTGTGCCCCAAGATTGCTCCACATGTGTTAATTGAAGAACTAAGGATATAGCATAATGTTTGTGATGCATTGTGTAGACGTTCTCTCTCAATTTTTTTCTCATTCTCAGTAACATATCAGTGTACTGCTGCAACTGTTACAAGTGAATATCACAACTTAGCTGCTGTATCAAGGAAGGATGGAAACCGAGAGAGAATTTTTTAATATTTAAAATTATGTATATTTTTTTTCTGAGCCAGCACTAAGCCAGTAATTAGGAGAAGTAACAAAGGTAATTCCAATTTCAGCTTCAGTTGTTTACCTTTTTCCTCTGTAACTGCAGGGATAGTATTGTTCCAGTAAATTTGCCTGTTAAAACTGGGAGCAGGGCTCAGCCAGACCCAGTTTTTCATTTTAAAATGTAGGTAATCACTGAAATGACTATCCAGCTAAGTAGTTATTTTTCTCATTTAATAAGGCAGTAATTCAAAACTGATTTCTGGTGTGATCCATCAGTAGGTGGTTCTGCCTTAGGTTTCTGCAATTTCACGTCAGTTAGTGAAATACTAAAACAGTTGTAAAATGATATGACTTATTTGCTGCATGAAACTTCAGTTTCTTCTTTGGAAACAATGGGGAAAACGATTACAGAGAACTTCAGTCTTCAGAATATATGTTTAAGCAGTAGTAAGTGGCTTAATTTTAAGAAATACTGGATGGCTTCATTAGTCACATTCTCATATGCAAGTTTCTTGTGGCTACATACTGCTAGCTGCAGAACTAAATTTTCAGAAATCAGTCCAATATTTTTAAATTTAAGCTCTACAGTTGACTGTCTGTATCCACAGGGAGCTTGCGTATGTAAACACAAGAAAAAACTTAAATTCTGAGGACAATTTCAAATTAAATGATAACTGAATTGGGAAGGAATGTTACACTCTACAGTAACCTGTTCATAATCTCGGCATTATAGGGAGTGCTTACCTATGGACTAACTGTAATAGAATGAGAAGTACACTAGCCATTAGGAGCTTTCTAGCCACACTTCTTGCAGTGATTCCTGTGGATAAAACAGAGAAGAAGCACCTCAGGAAAAACAGTGACAACAACAACAAAAACCTTAGCTGGATGAACAATTCTGCACATTCATAAGAAGTTACTTTTTTTCCTCCTGGATCTCAGCCTGATTTACAGATACTAGGCCAAAGTAAAAGTATCTCAGACTTGTATCAGTCTCTGGAACAGAAAGATGCAAAGGAGTCAGGGCAGAGCAAAAGAAGACTAAGAGCTGTGGAAATTTGGAATTTGAATTCTTAATTTTTGTTTAAAAGCAGTATTCAGAACCATTGTTGCATATGTGCAGCTTGTTCAGATGTAAATTATTCCTTGAGTAGTGAATGACTGTGAGGACTTTTTGTATGCATATATTTTAGAGAAGTATTCAGATGCTTGTTGTTACGGCTGACCTTACTTGTGGAGTAAAATTAGGTGTTACAGTGTAGGTAACAGTGACTATACTGTAATTTTAAGACCACGTAAGTGCCAGGAAACTGAATTGTCATTAAGCTAAGATAGTAATATTTTTAATATCATTTTGTTCCATTGCTAGTGATTCAGACATTGTCTTTTCTCTGCAATAAACCTATGTATTGTGGTATTCTGACTGAAGGTGTTAGTAATTTGAAACTCAACATACATTTCTGCTCTTCTGTTGCAGACTTCTGGCTGTCAGAGATTCAGATTAAATTTTAAAGATGGTTCATGTTAAATGTGGAAGAATATCATTGAGGTATGGATGCAACTTCTTGTTTTATCATCATTTGTGCACCAGTCTTTCTCTTTTCCATTTTAAATTGGTCTTTAGAGAACGAATGTTTCAAACGTTTCATTTGCAAAGAAGAATAAGTGCTGTTTCTGTGCTTTCTCTGAGAATTTCCATGTGTTAATGTTAAGAAAAAAAAAAAAAAACACCTCTAAAATGTGACTTTTATTAATTTTATTTTAATATCAAATTTCTGTTTTTAGTTTTAGTATTATTATTTTTAATTTGCAGTAAGGCTCTGTTCTTAACACTGCAATTTAGCCTTATGATTTTTATCCATGTCCTCAACTTAATGCTGATTCAAATATATTTTGTTCAGAAAACTGTATATTCTATTTCCTTGTTAATAAACTACCATACCAGTTGTGCCATAATTTCCCTATCTGTAAAATGCATAATAAACTATTTTCAGAAAACACTTTAAAAAGTTATGTAGTATTTTTTTCACTGCATAGGAAGAACTAGGTGTCTTTATTAACCTTTTATTATTTAGTCTTCAAATTTGGAGATAAATCTATTTTTTTGGCCCAAGCACAAATTCAGTGTGCTATGGAAGCCTCCGTACTACAGCTTAACTCTTCGTAGCTGTACAAAGAGGTGTTGTTGTGTGTTATCCCAAGGTCAGGGGTATTCTTATCCAGGGTTTTGGATTAGACCTATCAGTTTCTGCAAAACTTAAACAAAATAGAATTATTTTTCTTCTTTTTGTTATTGTGTAATTTCCAGGAAAGCAATGAAACCTTCCTACTGAAATGAGCGCCAGAAGTCATTGTTTCTTTCTTTTTCTCTTTCTTTCTTTCTTTCCTTCTTTCTTTTTTTTTTTTCCCCTCCCTTGTGGTCATTTACAAATCTGAGTGTAAAACAGAGACATTATTCTTGCCTGAACTCTGGACATTATTTGGAGAAAACAGATCACATGCTGTGATTAAACCTGTTGTTGCTCAGCCAGTGCGCATTTCCCAGAGAGAGTGTTACTGTTGCATGGTAGCTTGCTGATTTCGCTCGCCATGGAAGACTTGCAGCATCAGCTGCTCATTGTTACAGGGGCTCTGATCTGTTTCTCTGCTCTGCTTAAATGCATCAGATTTATGAACTATATTTTCCCACATATTTGGAGTGCTTTGCCTCAGGCTTTCTTCCAGTCGCTGGGAGAATGGGCAGGTAATGGAAATTTCCTTACATTTTTCTTTTTGTAATAGAGAGATGAATCTCTCTATTAGTTGTGTTACTAATTGGGATATTTTCCTTGTGTTCTCTTACCCCACTCCTTCAGAGGACAATTTCTACTAAGTGTGTGCTTTGTTTCATTTCTTCTTTCTACCTGCTAGTAAATTCAGTTTTATGAACTTCAAGTTTTTGCCTACTTGGGGAGAAGAGAAAAATAAACTAGAAGCAACGTGGACACGCAGTGTGTGGATGGGGATTCTCTCCCTGTTCTTACTTCCAGTGTTTTTTCTCTATTGGAAATGCTTTAGTTTTAATAACATTGCCTACCCTCAGTTTCTGATAAGTGAAATAACTAGTTAATGTATAGCACATAGTCTCCAGCCTTCCAACCAAATTGTCTTTGTTCCTGGTGACTTTGCTTCAGCCTCTTTGTTTCAGACTGGATATCTATCCTTAATGCTATCATTAACAAGCCAAATCTATTCTTGCCTAAAAGCTTTGAAGGCTACAACTCAGCAGTGCTTTTTTAAAGATATTACATATTCTCACAAAAATAACAGAAATATTTAATGAAAGAATTCTTCCTATTAAATGTTTTTCTTAGGGTTGGTAGATCGTCAATATGAAGTAAGAATGAAAAGGCAGTTTTAGAGATACGAGGCTACAGATGTCACCACTGGTGGCATCTTGTTAAGAAGTGACCCCAGATGTACTCTCATGCTAGAGAGTTGGATTGTGTATGTGTTTAATGTGCACATCTCACTGTGGAAGAGTAAGAAACAAAACTCAGCTGTTTGTGAAGGACTTGGCTAAGCATCAAGTGCTTCTGAAATAACACGTAAGCCACATTTTGGTGTGTGGGCCTGGCTGGTATGTGGATAGTCAGAAGCACAGCATGGAGCTCTATGAAACCTTGTCCTCCTGGAGGCCCAGAGACTGTCCTTTCCTTCAGTGGACCAGTTGTGTTCTGTCATTTCAAATACATTAAGTTTCCTCAGGCTGGTTGTATTCATTGGGCTTGAGTGGCTTGCAGCATCATACAGAATGTGAGATCCCAAGCCCTGCAAGGATGCAAGCTGGCAGGTGAAAGTTTGCTTTTCATCTGCAGGTCTGCTGTGGTCATAAAGATCACTAACTTCCTCACCAGGAGTTTTCTGTTCCCTGTGAACCTAGCTGCTCAAACTCACTCTGCTTCTCTGGTTTCTCTGTCAATTTAGAAGTCCTTAATTTACTTTGTTTTTAGACACTGACTCATGTTCAGTTTTGCTCTAAAAATGTGTCAGATGTACCTCAGAACTGTTTTAGGACGTTTCTCCTTTGCTTATTTATCCTTTATTTCTAAGATGATAAGTATTTTCCTTCTATAGCCCTTATTCGTTACTTGCTTTCATGATATTTAAGGTCCAGGGTGCCTTGTAAATGCCAAGGCTTGTTTACTTCCCCTGTGACACTAAATCCAAAGGTAAATCTTGAGATAGAAAGCACTATATAGGTGATGTTCAGTTAGTTTTTCCTTACAGAGAAACTTGCTGTGTCAGGAAATGTATCAGCCTCTGTCACTCCTTACCTACTGCCATTCTGCAATGAACATGCAAGTACAAAGCAGAACTTTTGAAAGAATATATGCATATTAAAAAAATTCTGCCATCTCATAGGTAATAGATTTGTTGCTGTCTCCCCATTCAAAGTGAAAGTATTGACTAAGATGCTACTTTAGGTGGGTTACAGTGGGGAGAGGTTTGCTTGGAAGACTAATAGTGCTTAGCAATAAATGTCAAGTCACAATACAAAGAAAGGCTTGGTTCAGTGGTTTATTAGAAACGTTTTGACAGTAATGTCCAAGAAATGGACAATATTAAGTTTAACAAATTCAATAAAGAGCTAAAGAAAATCTACAATCACCATGATCCTTACTATTGTTTTCTTTCTTCAGTGGTCACAGGAGCTGGAGATGGGCTTGGAAAAGCATATTCCTTTGAGGTAAGAAAAATTATACTCCCTTAATTTTACTTCAACGAAATGAAAATTGCTATCTATTACCAGTCTTTGCATGTTAGTAAGAAGAGTCTGGAATTCAAAGCCACTGTGACAAATATAGTACCAATCTTTTCCCTCCCTATTTGCAGAATAACATGAGCTGAGTTCTGTGAGGACATTAGTATTGCATTTAAGAGGAATGTCATTCATGTTGCAGTGGTCCTGTCTGTCCAAGGAAATGAAATGGAAACACCATGTAATTGAGATTTTTTATTGTCTGTCCAGAGTGGCATGTCTTCCAGCCTATCCTTTTTTTTCCCCCCGGTTTTACAGCTAATGTGTTTTTTCTCTTTTGATGAGGTAGTCCAGTATTAAACACACAAAATGCACTTCGCTATCCTTCACAGCTGCAAAAGAAAGTTTGAGAGATATATTTGAAACAACAGAGAAAGGAGAAATATACATAAATGAGTATGAGCTACAAGCTAAGGAACTGACAAGGATCCCTGATAGTCTGATTAGTAATCCGTCACTGCAGGAGTCTGCAGGAGGAGGGAGCTGCAGTTTGCCATGCATTGCTGTGAAAATGCTACAACATCCCCTCTGCTCACCATTGCTGAAGGCAGAGAGGCCTCTGAGACTGTCCTTGCTATGTGTGATAGTGACAGTGGCAGATTTTCTCTCTGATGTCTTTGTTCATAACCAGCTCTCTGTCTGAACTGAATTGCTTAGCTGCAATGAAATGTAAGTTATTGTCTTCAGAACTGAGACAACCAGATGAAAATTAACAGGTGGTAATATGGGAGGATCTGGATTAGATGTGATGCATTCTGAAGTGATAAGTCATATATGATGTGAAAAAATGTACATAAAACTTGTCTCTCAGGAAAGGAAAATGAGTTTCCTTTTGATTTAATTGATTAGATTATTAAACCAGTTCTCCTAAGCATATGCTTATTTACTCATACTTGAAGCACCTGATTTTGATTACTGGGAGTGGCAATACAATAAGTACTTCATGAACTGCATTGGAATTAGAAAACATAGATACCAAGTATTGCAGTATTTATTGCAGTTGTGATAAAGATTATAAACTCTCCTATGTGAAAGAAGGAAAAACGTTGCTTTCCACCTACTGACTAAGTTGCTGTAACAATAAGAAAATGGAAAGAGTCTGATGAATATGTAAGTCAGGGAAGAATGGGTTGGCATTAAAACACAGATAAGAACTGTCAGAAATGCTTTATCATGCCCTTAGAACTGCATCTCCAGGTGTAGTCACATGCAGAAGCAGCATGCTGAAGTAACTGTGTGAGAGATCCTGGTGATACTTTAACTATGAGGTCTGCAAGAATCTGAGAGTGGATCTGAGGTCAGAATTTCTGTCTTTGTTCTGCTTCCTTTGTTCTGCATAGGTTATAGAACTGTAAATCCCAGCTAAAAGGCCAGCTGTGACATATGAATGGCCACTTAAGTCATCAGAAATAATAAAATAACTATTGTCTTTTGTTCCTTTCTTGAGAAAACAGTTTTTGTCAGGAGCTGGCAAGTTTTTGTGGAATGTTTCTTCATTGTTTTTGGCTTTCTTGTGTTGACTGAGAGGCATCTTTACCCTTGCTGAGATTTATCTTCCCCAGGTCTTCCCAATCATATAGGTTGTGCTCAGCTAATGCATGGCACTATTTGAGCTCATAGCTTGGTACATCATCTTGCTGGCTGAGGTCAAAGCGCATGATTGTGTGAGGCTTGTAAATGAGTGGACCAGCTTTGTTGCTGCTCTGATTTTGGGTACAAAATTCTCTGATGTCAATCTGACATAGGTTTTGCTGATACCGTGGGCTGGTGTGAACACAAATCTAGCCTGCAGGCCACAGGGTTGCTACATCTCTGTCCCTGGAGCTTGAGCTCTAAGACCAAGCAAAGGCTGTCCTTCAAACATGGACTTGTAACAAGCTACAACATAATGCAAGAGCTCCACACTCCTGTGATACCAGAAACTGACATTAGTCCTGGTGATTTGGAAGGATGGTGGCTGTTTCTTCTCAGTGTTTTATATGGAAACCCGAACCAGTGGCTCACAAATACAGCCCAGGAGACAGAAGTCCAGGTAATGATTACATTCCTTACTGGGGGAAAACCCCTTTTTCCAAGATTTGTAGTTAGGTAAACACTTCTGCACACTGGCTGGCTTGGTCTGTGTAAAAAGCTTGAAGTCTCAGAAGACTGATGGTTGATACAGGACACATATTCTTTTGTCTTTTTAGGTTCATAGAATCACAGAATGCCTTGAGTTGAAAGGGATCTTAAAGATCATCCAGTTCCAACCTCTGCCACAGGTTAGTTGCCAGTGAGTAGGTGAGGTCGCCCAGGATCCCATCCAGACTGGTCTTGAATGCTTTCAGGGATGGGGCATCCACAGCTTCTCTGGGCAGCCAATGACAGCACCTCACCACTCTCTGAGTAAAGAATTTCTTCCTAATATCTAACCTAAATCTCCCCTCTATGCCGCCCGAGGACAGGGCGGTCCTCGCGCCACGGGTAGGGCAGCGCGCCACGGGCTGCACTCAACGCCATCTCTGTGCGGAGTGAGGCAGCGTTAAAAGCTCGTAGCCTCTGCCAGTGATGGCCAGGAAATTCCTTTCTTAAATGCCTTCATTTTTGTTTGCCTTGAGGGTGCACCTGAATCTTGTAGTTTAAGTGTTCTGTGAAACTGTTTTCTGAAAAGAATGCACGGGTTATATATGAGGAAATAAGTAAAAATAAAAATAAAAACAAAAACAAAAATAAAAATAAAAATAAAAATGATAAAAATAAAAGGAAGAGAAAAAGGAAAAGAAGAAAAAAAGAAAAAGAAAAAGAAAAAGAAAAAAGAAAAAGAAAAAGAAAAAGAAAAAGAAAAAAAGAAAAAGAAAAAGAAAAAGAAAAAGAAAAAGAAAAAGAAGAAAAAGGCCTTGAGAAATGCTGCTGCAGCTTTATACTTCTAATGGATCTGGCATACAGCAGCAAAGGAGCATCGTCTCATCTGTTCACCTGGCAGTCAGCATTTTTGCCATTCTAGCTAAAATAGGATCATAGCAATATAGGGATCATTTTTTACCAGACACAGAGACATATATGAAGTGTTATTGAGAAGCACTACAAAATAAAATTTTAATTTTACTTTGTAGGTGACATGGATGATATTTAATCTTGTTTGAATGCTCAAAAAAGCAGAATGACCTCTGTGTAATCATCTCTGAGTGACAGGTACGAATAAGGGACCAAAGCAAGAGAGACTATCTGCATTGCTTTCCAAGTTGTAAACAGCTTGAGTTAAGCACATTTTAGACAAAGGGAAATTTGCCAGTGTGCAGACAATTTACTTTCTCTTCCTGAGTACCTCATACAGAGCCCATAAAATAAGCTTTCAAAACCACGGAGTGCCCAGGCCTGGACATGTCTCTGTGGCTAATTATGTGAGAGGTTCGCTGAGAGCATGGGACTGTGAGCAAGGTCTTTGTGCTGAAAGTGCAAATGGCTGTATCTTATATATTTAATAGATAGTCTGCTCCTTGTACTCTCAGTGTAGTGAGTTTTCAAACAAAGGTCCTTGTTCCTTGACATTCTTTCCATTGTTTCAGAAGAGCTCAGTAGGACAATCTGGTAGGTTTAGGAGAGTGCATTGCAGGGAGTCAGTGGCAGAAGTGAATGGGTCTTCACTGTGTGGCCTTCGCCAGTTCACTCCTTGTTCCAAGATAACGTGGTACTTTCAGAAGTTGGCCTTTATCTTTTGTACTGACTTTTTCTTGCTTCTTGCTCTCACAGGCATTTTCTGGTTTCAACTCTTATCTTTCTTTGTGCACATAACTCTGTCCCACTGCTACTTAATAACTTCATTTCACAAGATTTGCGTGTTTTTTTTTTTTTTTTCAGATTCTGCCTAAAAAAACTCCTTTGCTGGTGGGAATGGGTAGCTTACAGAAAATACATTCTATGTAGTGCTTCATTTGTAGGTGACATGGATGATATTTAATCTGCATGTGGAAATGCCAAAGTCTCCATGCATGGACTTTTTTGCATGACTTCTTTTTTAATATAATAAAATAATGAAGGTCAAAGATGGTGTTGTAAAATGACTAGAAAGTAATTATTTGTCTTCCCAATGCTTGTCTGGGAAATGCCACATCATTTTTTTTCTCTGCATGCACATGCTTAAGTGAAACTGGCTGTGGTTGTTTATTTTTAATCATATGGTTGGGACCTCATTGTTGTCCAACATATTTTTCTTGTAAGGGGCCAAGGTATTTTCACAGACTACTAGAATCTGGTTTTAATATCTGTTGTTTGCCCATTAGACCAGTGACAGACAACTGAAAGCAATTAATAACTGTAATTGTTTTCAATAGTAAAATTAGAAAATTTAAAAAAATCATGTTCAATATTGCTTTCCAACACTTTTATATTCTTCTCTTGTAGCTGGCAAGACATGGGTTAAATATAGTTATGATAAGTAGAACTCTTGAGAAGATGCAGAGAGTAGCCAATGAAATCGGTAAGTGTTTGTACCACATTTGTTTGCCTTCCCATTTGGCAGCCTGGCTTGGTGGGAACCTGGGCCTGCTTCCCTTGTCGAGTGGAGTCCCAGATATTGCTGCAGATAGAGCCCAAGCTCTTAGTGCAAAACTGCAGGCACTGTTTCACTGCATTTGTTGAACCCTTCTAGTCATAGATTGCTTTAAAAATACATGCTATGATTCAAACAGTTCAATAGTTTGGGACAAAGAAATATGACTCCAGGTTCTATTCTGACTTCACCTGAACTTAAGATCGCTAAATACAGGCAAGGAGATAGGATAATAGATTTATTTGAACAACCTATGAATGGGCTTTTGCTTGAGAAAGAAAGGTTACCTTGAGGCTAGTTCTTGGAATGCAGCAGAAGAGGAGTAAAAGTGAAATAATTGTAGCTGTTGTCCTCTTTTTTTCTCTTTTTAAGGTTTACAAACTACATTTGGCTTTCAGTAAGACAGTAAAGTAGTGTGCATTTACAATTAATGTTCATTTTCTTTTCTTCAAATGGAATCAGCAATTTGCCCTGGGGAATAGTTTATTTAAACACATTAGCATTGACAGTTAGGATTTCTATAGGAGACAAGTGCGTTTATATCCTCTGTTAACTTTACAGACATCTGTAATCGGGTTTATTCTTCCATATATTGCCTCTGTCCCTAAACTCCCCAGTGTGTGAGCTGCTGTGCTAGCTGTGCTGTGCCAGGCTCTTGAACCCTTCCAAAGAGAAGGATGTGACACAGGCCTCAGACCAGATTGCACCCACAGGAGGTATCTTTTGTATCTTGGGGATGAAATTGACTACTGAGCTTCTGAATTTCCTGCCTAATTTACCCCTCATTTCTAGATACAGACTTGCTTTCCTTTGAGAAGCAAGAAAGGGGAAACACCAGCCTAACTGTATCCCATGAGACCAGTGCGGCATACACTGGCTCCTACAAAGTAAAAAGCCATAAAAATATGGACTCCAGCGAAGATTATGCAAGCTCTGATGTTGCTGCATTTCTCTGTGGCTGAATATTAAATAATTAAAAAACCTGATTAAAAAGAAAAGAAAGTTTAACAGATTTTTATAGTTTCTACGCATTGTAAATGATAATGGGAAGCAAAGAATGAAAATGATGAGGTCCCTGAGACTAAGACAGCTAAGTGAAGAATGAGAGAGGTGTAAAAAGGTAGTACCCTGCAGGTTCCTCTTTATAGGATTTACATTGAGGCTGACCTTGGGGCACCTTCGCCATGCATGTGCTGTGCTCTGCAGCACCCCCTCACCAAGGGCCTCCTGTCCTGGATGGTCCGCTGCAGCAGCCTGCCAATGGCAGATAGCATTGAGTTTTCCCCAGAGCATGCCTGAAATTGCTGGCAAAACCCAATGAGATCTTTCCATTGTGTTCAGTGGGTTTTGGTATTTCTCCAGAATGACTCATGTTATTTGTTGTGCTGAGTTGGAGAGGAATACATAACAGCAAGTAGATGGCATAAACAAAATGGGAGGAGGACACAGCAACAGCAAGCATCTGATATGGAGGTCAAAAAAATCAACAAGGAGCTCTAGGTTAAAGTTTTCAAATAGCTCCTCTGATTTGTAATTAAGCTAAGTAATTACTGGGAAGGCGAGTTTAGCTTACTGTAATTTTGTGAGAGTAAATAAACAATGGAAATCCAAAATGAAGCAGAAGTCTAACCAGAATGATTTTATTGTTTTTTGATTTTTTTTTTCTTTTTCTTTCTAAACTGTCTGAACAAGAAATATTTCACATTTATGCACGGTATCCTTTTCCAGTGAGTTGGACACAGTAAAGAGAACACTTGACTTCCTTCTCAACTTGTTAATGTTATTTACCTAATTGTACTGTTTGTGGTAAGATAGATGAAGAGAGGCTAAAATGTAGATAACTCCCTTACTCTCAGTAGCTTGGTTTATTTCTGTGGATCACAGATGTGCTTGAGAGTAGCTCTCAGAAATAGAGCTTTCAGCAGGCCATTCCACAAGCCAAAAAACACTTCCCTAAAGAAGAATCAAAACCAGATTTCAACCTAGCTGGACAGGATGGCTCTTTTAGAACATGAGATAAAACATAATAAAATAAGTTTTGTGTGAGGACACAGAGCTAATAGTTTCTCTAGATGAATTGCTTGTTTAACATGTTTACTATTGTTGTTGTAAAACATTCATTCTATGGAAGTTTCAATCCACAGTGATGCAAATGTAGGAATGAAATTGGCTGAAAAGGATGCAGAAAATGTGGCATCATAACTAGTCTATCTGTCTCCTCGTCCTACATGAAAAAATGACTGCTTATTAAAATGTTGATCTTTTACACACATGCACACACACACACACACAAAAAAAACTCACCTCACTTTAAAACAATTCTGTGCTTATGTTGAGGATCTGGCACCACATTCATCTGCCATTGTCATCATGCGTGTTGACAATGTTCTTTCATAGTATAATGATAACTGGGGAAGAGTTGCTGTATTGCTTATTTATTTTGTTTTTTTTTTTTTTTTTTCTTGCTAAAGGACTAAATGCTGTTTAGGTTTTGTCAGGGAATTTCCATTAATTTCAGGGCATAAATTCATCCTATTTGCCAGTTATTTCCTTGAAAATAACTGTAACGAGTGAGGGTGTTTACCTTGTGATTTAACTATTTTTAAAGCAAGAAAGTTGAAAAAATGATTATCGTAGAATCATAGAATCACGAGGTTGGAAATGACCTGTAAGATCATCTAGTCCAACTGTTTTCCGATTACCACTCCTATCACAAGCTACTACACCACATCTTGCAGCTCCTCATCCAGATGCCTCTTGAACACTGCCAGTGACAGCAAATCCACCACCTCCCTGGGCAGACATTCCAGTGCCTGACCACTCTTTAAGAGAAAAAGTTTCTCCTTATGTTTAATCTAAACCTCCTCTGATACAACTTGCAGTTGTTTCCCCAGGTCCTGCTCATTACCTGGGAGGAGAGGCCAAACCCCTCTTCACCACAACCTCCCTTCAGGAAGTAGTAGAGTACAACGAGTTCTTCCTTGAGCCTCCTCTTCTCCAGAATAAATCTGTGCAGTGGACATTGTTAAGTGAGACATTTCACTGTTTTTCTAACTTCTGCATTACAGTTCTTCTCTTTATAGATGGAAAGGGCTTTTCTGTTTTTTATTCTTTATTACAGAGCAGGCCACAGCTCAAAAGGTGAAGGTTATACAAGCTGATTTCACTAAAAATTCAGTATACGAGAACATTGAAAAAGATCTGGAAGGCTTGGAAATAGGTGTTTTGGGTGAGTTGCTGATGTCTGTTATGTAAATGCTATTTTATGGCTGCAGTGTATTAAACACAGAATTTTACAAATTATGTGTGTTGTAACAACTTGTTAGCCAACAATTAAAGCCAAGCATACAACTGTCTTACGTATTTGAATATAAATTATCTTGATCAAGTTTTAAAAGTGAATTAAGATTCTCCAAGCATTTCCCTTTTCTTTGTGCACTAGTTTCTTCTGCCGTGAACAATTTTCTGCCATTTAATGAGCAGTGGCCAGCCCGTGGGATTATTTTTTTCCTGTTTGGCATCAAGGAATTACAGCTGTGTGTGGTTCTTACATTCAAATTGAAACAAGCCTGAGGCTAACACTAATTGGTGTGATCCACACAGGAACAATTGAAACTTTTTTTGTTTATTTGTTAAAAAAAATTATCCTTTTAATGGAGAAACAAACAAATTAAACAAGAACAAAACAAAACCGAACAATCAACCCGCCCTCCCCAGACTATACAGCAGACTGTTTTTCTCTTCCCTGAAGTCAGCACTGGTCAATACCAATGAATTAAGTGAGAACAAGACTCAAAGCTAAGCATCATTTCTCTTCATATGCAGCTTAAAAACCAAGTCTTAAGGAGAAGGCATCTGCTTAATTAGCTGAACTAAGACTTTGTCTTGATGTGGTCCTTATAATTATGTTTCCTTTGATTAGTTAACAATGTTGGAATGCTTCATAATCCTCTTCCATGCCGTTTCCTTAATGCACCAGATGTAGATGAGGTAGGATTACTCTGTGATTTTCTACTTTCAACATAATAATTAGGAATTGTTATTCTCCTTAGCAAGCGGCAGATCCTCCCTCTACTACCATCAGTGCCTATTTCAGTGTAGAAGCATATTTTGATTTGTTTTTAATGTTTGGAAGAGCTTGCAATAGAAAAAAATAGAGTTCAGCTCAACTGCAGCAGGCAGGTAACAATAGCTGAGATCAGCTATGCTGTCACATAACACCATGTGGCCAGCCCAGTCACAGCTGCAGCATTTATGTTAGTGTTATCAAAACTTTATTTTGTAGAGACACTATTGATTTAATGTGTAGGAAAATAAAAAAATAAACCTTGCTTAAACATGCTTTATTTTAGGGAGAAATTTACACACTCAGAATAGTTTCACGGGATTAAGGACTTGATCACATTCTTCTTTGCCTTATTATTCAGCCTGTTTGTCACCATCTGTTACAAACTACAGATCCACAGCTGAATGCTTCCCACTGTGCTGCAGCCATGAGGTGGAACCTCTGCTGCTGCTATGGCTTATGCCTGCAAGATGGCCTTGGGACAATACTTCTGCACAGAAGTTCTTATGCTGCGCAGACATCATGTAGAGAAATATTGCTACCTCTGTAACTGGGAGACACTCCAGCTCAGCTTGGCACCTTTGTAAGCTGAGTGCAATTTGGCATGCATCTAGCTTGGTTTGCTGGTGCCAACAGTGCTGGGACACCAGGCTCTGTAGTGTCATCATGCACAAAGACACAGCTGGGCAAAATGAAGAGTGCTATAACAAAGAGATGTATGAGATTTGAGTTCAATATTTAGTGAAACATGAATCCAGGGCTCATTTGCCTTCAAGTATCTCACATCATAGACACAATCAGTGAAAATCCAGGGCAACTCTGCTTTGCTAGCAAGTTTTTTAGTTGGAATTGCTAGGTTTGTAATGTAGAAAAGCTACATGCTCTTTGAAGTTAGCCATGAACTTACTGCTTTCTTGCTTATTGCAGAACCTTGTCAACTGTAACATTATTTCTGTTACAAAGGTATGTGTCATATGCATCAAATCTGAATTCATTGCACTGAATACGAGCAGTCATTTAATCACATTAATTGCATGACTATTGTTAGTCATGCAATTAACTTTCCTGTACAAATTCATCCAGTTTATCCAAAGACATTCCTATTAGGCTGGAATGTCAGCATTATTTGAAGGACTTGGTTGGTTTCTAATATCTATGAAGTATTTTGAGTTGACTGGAAATGTTTTTGCACAATTGGTTGGTTGATACACATTGTTACACTGCATCTTAATCATTTCCCAAAAATAAGGTGGTGTCCCTAATCAGGAAGATTTGTTCGAAAATAAAAATCTGCAGGACAAGAAGATCTGCAGTCTTTTTGTACTGTGCTGTATATTCATTTTTTGAAACAATTCTGTTCTACAAAAACATTTTTCTATCAGTGTAAGAAAGGAACTTCAGGAATTGACTCCCAGATCACTGTTTTTCTTTGTGTCAAATTTGGTTGGTTACTTTACTTGCAAGAGCAGTTACTGTTCCATGCTTAAAGATTTGTGTTGCTCTGCAGTTAGCAAGTAGTATGTTAACATAACAAGAGCAGAACCAGAGCTTCAGAGTTCATCTTAACTTTGGCTAAGAAATTCTTAAATGTTACATGAAAATTGTGAACAGATATTCCACTTTGCGTAGCAAACTTTACCTCTCAAATTTGTAGTGCTGCTTAATGACTTCAAATAATAAATCACGTGAGATCAATAAATTGAAACAAATTCATTTATGAAGTAGTTTGGTGAACTTTCTGCTAAAAGGTTTTATTCCATTTATCACAGAATTATAGAGGTTGGAAAAGACCTCTGAAGACCACCTTGTCTAGAGTCCCTGCTAAAGTAGGTTCTCTATAGTACATTACACAGGACATTATTCTGGTGGGTTTTGAATATCTCCTGAATGAGAGACTCCACAATCTCACTGGGCATCTCGTTCCAGTGCACTGTCAAACTCAAAGTAAAGTTTACTTTTGGAGTTAACTAGATCAATCTATGCCCTTGACAGGGTGGCAGTAGACCCCTGGGCCCCTCCAGCTCCACAAAATAGGAAGGAAGAGGGAAAAGGGGTAGGGAAATGGGAGCTGGGCTCAAGGAAGGGAAAAAAATAGCAGCAATGATCTGTGGAGGAAAACTCCATTTTATCAACTATGATATCGGAATGCAAGGTAACACAATATTATACAATCTAATTGAAACTGAGACTAATAAATCAAATAAAATAGGAGAGAGAGAGTGTTCTCAGGAATCAAACCTTCAAAGCTTGGTACTGCTAGGAAAGCACACTCCAGTACCCCCTGCAAGGCAATAAGAGACCACCCCACCCAGAAGGGCCAGATCCCATCACTTTGGTGACGTACAGAGACAGGTACCCGGAATTGGAGCATTAACACTTTAACTCCCAGTGCACTACATGATGTTACGATGTGCAATATCGAAAGCCAAAAATCACAAAACCATGACACTCATGTTTGCATGTAAATTCTTATGTTCCAGTTTATGCCCATTGCCCTTGCCTTATCTCTGAGTAGCACTGTAAAGAGCCTGGCCCCATCCAATTGAATCCTGCCTTTACATACTTACACTGATAAGATCTGCTCTCAGCCTTCTCCTCTCAGTCTTCTCTCAGTTTTCTCTTCTCTAGACTGAAGAATCACAGCTCTCCTAGCCTTTCCTCATAAGAGAGATTCTCTAGGCCCCTAATCAAGATAAGTGGTGCAGCTGGCACAATAGAAGGGAGGTATACCATCCATAGGGACCTGGACATGCTTGAAAAGCAGACATATCAGAACCTAATGAAGTTTAACAAGGCCAAGTGCTAGGTGCTGCACTTGGGCTAGGGTTATCCCAGATATGAGTACAAAGTGATTGAACTCATACAGAGCAGCCCTGCAGAGAAGGACCTGGGTGTCCTGATGAAAGAAAGACTGGAGATGAGCCAGCAGCGTGCACTTGCAGCCTGGAAAGCCAACAGAATCCTGAGCTGCATCAAAAGAGGGGTAGCTAGCAGAGACAGAGAGGGAATTGTTCCCCTCTATTTTGCCCTTGTGACACCCCGTCCGAAGTAACGTGCCGAAATCTGTGGCTCCCCAGTACAGGAGGAATGTGGAGCTCTTGGAGTGGGTCCTGATTATATGATTGGAGTCTGGAGCACCTCCCCAACGAAGAAAGGATGAGGGACTTGGGCTTGTTTCTGTCGGAGAGGCTCTAGGGAGACTTCATTGCGGTCTTCCAGTACTTGAAGGGAGCTTACAAGCTAACTTTTTACATGGTCTGATAGTGATAGAACGAGAGGGAGTAGTTTTTAACTAAAAGAGGAGAGATTTAGGTTAGCTGTTAGGCAGAAATTTGTTACTCAGAGAGAGGTGAGGCAGTGAAGCAAGTTTCCCAGTGAGGCTGTGAATGCCCCATCCATGCAGATATTCACAGTCAGGCCAGATGGGATCCTGGGTAGCCTAAACAAGTAACTGGCAACCCTGCTAATGGCAAGGAGGTTGGAACTAAATAATTCTTCTGGTCCTCTCCAACCTAAGCCACGCTACTATTCTTTGATTCTTGTCTCCTCCTTCTTATCCTTTTTGAAGACTGAATAGACACTGGCTTACCTCCAGTCCTCAGGCACCTCTTCCATTCTCCTTTCAAAGAGGACAGAAAGCATTTTGGCAATCACTTCTGCCAGCTTTCTTAGTGCTTGTGGGTGTATCCAATTGATACATGGGTTTGTGTACATCAAGCTTGCTTAGGTGATCTCTGGCCTCAACCAAGTGGAATTCTTCCTTTCCTCAGACTGTCTCTCTTACCTGTAGAGTGTGAGATTCCTGAGAGGCAGTCTTAGTAGAAGAGACTGAAGCAAAGAAAGCATTCAGTAACTCTGCCTCCATTATCAAGGTGTCCATCTCATTCAGCAGTGGACCCACATTTTCCCTAATCTTTCTTTTGCTACTGATATACTTAAAGAAACTGTTCTTGACATCCTTGACCTTCTTTGCCAGATATAATTCCGAGTGGGCTTTAACCTTTCTTGTCACATCCCAGCCTGCTTTGACACCATTCTTACATTCCTCTCAAGTGGCCTGATCCTTTTCCCACTTTCTGTTGGCTTTTTTCTAAAATTAGAGGTTTTTTTTCCGTGATCTCTTTGCTCATCCAAGGCTTGGGGATTCCTTTCCCTCAATGTTACAACTCCTTCCTCTTCAATTTTTTCACAAAATTTCACTTTCCTTCAAAACTCAGAGAAGAAATCATGCTCCTAACTGCCATTCCTCATGCCTTGGTACAAATCATCTTTACATTTTTTCCCAGTCCCTGGCTTGACTGCTGGTAGAATCCTGCTCACTACCTTTTGCAGTGGGACACTTGTGCTCCAGGCATTCCTACAGATGTCAGTAGAGTTTCTACCACTGAGGAAAGGCAGGACCATTTCCAATGTTTTCCACTTTCCTTGAAAATTCTCCTTCATCCCAGCTGATATGACATCAGCATCCTTTCTGAAAATGAAGCTTGTGAATCTCACCTTGATCCTTCAATCTTGTAGTATACAATGACACTTCTGAAAAAAATAATAGAGAACTAATAGGGACTGGAATAAATAATTGAATTATTCACTTGCACTGACTTTTATTACAGCTCTTGACAAATTAGTTCCAACTTTTATCCTGCAAAGTTTCAGACTTACATATTTTTGTAATGAATCAATCAACTTCCTAAGGAGTTAAGCTTAATGGCAAAAATATTTTTGAAACGCAAAAAAGCAGCAGCTACTTTCTTACCTGAGATTGGATTTAATCGCACTTTAAAAATCAGAAGAATGATTCAGTCTCCTGTTAAAATTGAAATAGATCTTTAAATAATTAATATAAAAATGACCCCAAAATTCCTTTGTTTTCAGAAAATAAGTTTTCTTTTAATTAATTTTCTACTATTTCTGATCCAGGTGGAGCCAGAAGAAAAAAGTCTGAAAACATGATAGAGCTTACTTTCTCCTTGTGATTGAAAACTGAAGATTCATGAAATTCAGATATTGATGAAAAACTTTGGATAAGCATATGATTTTCATGGCTTAGAAGACTGACCTTAGATATTTTTTTAACAATTTAGCTAATTGGTAGGCCATTAGCATTTCTAAAATGTTTCTCAAATCTTTGAACGTGCCATATTTGAACTGGACATGTATCTGGGGCTTAAGCAAATGGGAAACCTTCTGAATAAAACAAGAAGAATTAAAAAAAGCAATTAGAAATAGGAAATTTGGTATATTTTTAATGTACTTATCTTACAGATGACACAACTAATTTTGAAACAGATGGAACCAAGGTAAAAATAATTTTTCCATAATTTTCAAATGGTTTTTGTTTCTACTACCACTTTCTTCAGTGAAAGGTATGCTTTTTCATTATTAACTTCTGCACTTGATGGCATGTCAATCAGTAAGATTTACTTCTCTTGCTGTTAGTGCTATGTGAATGAATGATACGAACTGCCACAAGTTGTCAGTTAACTGTGGAATGGAAAAGATAATATAAAATATTGATCTGTTTATAGAAAAAGCATGTAGCTACTGCAGATATAAAGTTATACATGACAGCATACATTCAATTCTACTTCAATATTTTTTTTATTTTTCCAGGATTGGTAGCCATCATTTTTTAAAGCTCTGGAAATACTTGTACTTCCTTTGAGAGATTAATTCAGCTGTGTACTCCCTTTTCTCCTTTTAATACTATGTGCACGTTAGACAGAGGGTGTTCTTAAGCTGTTTACAGATGCAGTTTCTAGAAAACATTAACTAGTACCTTTTAGAGGACAGTGCATGCTCTTTGTTTTGAAAACAAAATAAGCTCTTACTATTGAACTGTTTTGCTCTGTTTCGTTCTTCCTGGTTGTTGTAGAATGAATTGTTTTTGGTGATTTGTATAGGGAGTTGTGAATAGGGAAACTAAAACAACAGATGCATGGAACAGGAAAATGAATGTGCTGGCTAATGAGCAGAGGGGACCTATCAATTACTAAGGAGTATAAAATCTCTGATGGCAATTTTTCCTCTGTTAGATGTAAATAGCTTCTAAAATGTTCCCATGGTTCTACTTGGATAGGGCATTAAAGTTTCACTTATTCCATTTTTCCTAGCTGCATTAGACATAATTGCACCTAACAAAACAATAAAAGTTGGGTCTTCAGAGAGTGTAGTCTACAGGATAATAGGAGAGCTCTGCCTTCTTGGGGAGAAACATTGCTTTCCACTTGTGAAGGTTTTCACAATAATGCTGTATGTAACTATCTAAATTAAATTTTAGACAGAAAGGTCTGATTCTGAACCTATCCTCTGGTCTGGGAACTTTCCCTTGTCCCCTGTACACAATGTACTCAGCATCTAAGGTAAGTCTTTTACGTAGCTTTATAAATCTCCATCAAGTGCTTACCAAAATTTTATATCAGCAATACTGACCTGGGATTTCAGATGACATAAAACAGTGTTGTTTCTCTGAAATAATGGAATGATGTGAATTAGTGATAGCTGAGAACTAAGAGTCAGCTATGCAAATGAAATCCAGCTGAAGATATGTCTCATCACTGGAATATTTTTGTCTTTAATTATTGTTATAGCAATGCCTTTTGTAGAATGATGAATTTTACTGGGCTTGCTTAGCTGTCTTACTTGAAACGGCAGTTGTACAGAAAGGTTAGATTTTTCTTATGAAGTCAGGAATAAAAATCCTGGTAGGTGGCTGGTGAATTTCCTCATTTCCTAGATTTCACTTTGAAATATTACTTTAAATTGAAACTCCAGAGCTTATCAAAATGAGGAGATATTGATTTTTACTGAAACTCCAAAAATGATCTGCCTTGATCAGATTTGCTTCAAATGATTCAAATGATAAGATTCTATGAATCTTTGAAAAACTCAGGAGTTCTCTGGTTAATATGGTTTTTATATCTCTTATTAATAAAGTTGTTAAGCTAACTATGTTCAGTGTTGCTAAGCTTCTGAATATTTCTAAAATCATTCATTATATTAAAAAGCCAGCTTTTACACAAAATACATTCATGTACATGCAATCTTCATGGTGTGAAGAAAAGCTTAGAAAGATAAACCCTAAAGGTTGATGCCTAAAAACAAACAAGCAAATAAATAAATCTCCAGCAAATATATATATGTATATATATATATATATATAAAATCACATTTGTACGCTATGGTCATAGACATATATTACAGGCTTGAGTTGTGTTTCACTGATCTTTTCATTTCAAGAAAGAGTAATATGAGGCTTGGACTGGGAAAGTAGATGTCATTCAGAGATGGCAACAACGTGCAACAAGAAATAAGATAAATGGGACTCTAATATTTTTATTTCTTGCATTTTCATAAATATGATAAATTTTTGATAAAGGTCTGCAGTTATACCTGGTTTCATATCTAGCTTGGGCCAGTGCAAGACATTGTCTTCTCTGATCTTGCTGTTACTAGTGGAGGAGAGCAAAAAATGTGTCTTCAAACACTTTTTCACCACTAACTATGCCTCAGGTTGTCTAAGATGTTCAGGCATAAATTTTTGAGTATTTGTGAAAATACATAATTTCCTGCATTAACATTATTTCATTTTATTTTATTCTAGGCCTTTATATGCACTTTCTCCAAAGCACTACAAGCAGAGTATAAAGAAAAGGGAATTATCATACAGGTGATACTATATCTTACCTTTACTTATTCCATATCATGCCTTAATCCATTGCAGATATGTTTTACAGTTTCTCAGATGCCATGAGATTCTGCAGAGTGAATGGTCTTATGTAGATGTCTGATAACATTAAACTCTTACTACATGCCTTATTTTAGGTAGTGGCTCCTTATGGCGTCTCTACTCCAATGACAATGCACCAAAAACCTGGTCTTATTACAAAGACTGCGGAAGAGTTTGTTAGTGAATCACTGCATTACATCACTTTCGGAGATGAGATTTTTGGATGTTTAGCCCATGAATTACTGGTAATTGCATATGATAATTTGTAAACAGATTCTAAAAGTTGAATCAAGTCTGCCTGGGCTCATGGGGTTTTTTGGTTCATTTTCGAAATCTTAAAGTTACGTTTCAAAAGACAAACTGTGAATAGGTTAATGTTAATATGGCACCAGTAAACTCTGAAGGGAAGAAGATACATACAGAGTGCAGTGCTGTAAGCAAAGCGCAATATTCTCAACTTCTATGTTTTGAGCTGAGGTCAGTTTGATGTCTTCATCTCTTCTCCAGCTGCCAGTTTCCTACCAAGAATATATCCAAGACTCTACTCCTTTAAAGAAACCAATCAGTAGATTAAAAATTTATTAGTGAAGAAAGGAAAGAACATAAAAACAGACTGTACTGTCACATAAATATAAATTCCTCAAGATATCAAACTAATACATACATATATATATGTATACATATCTATGGCAGCTGTTAATGGTGATCATCAAACAAAAGTATAAGGATGAGAACAGAGAAAGAAAGAGCATTTTCTGCTGAGGGAAACATTTCTACTAAAAATATGAAGTAAAATCTTATATATTTATTATTTTCTATAATCTTTCTGATCACGTGGTTAATTTCTTTCAAAAGGTTTTTGTAATCTTCTGATTTTGCATTGTTTTTTCTTGATTATTCTAAAGGCATGCGTTCTGCAGCTTGTTCCTTTATGGGTACTCCACAGTGACAGGCTTCAAGAAGCAGCCCTGCAGGCATTTACCAGTTATCTTAAGAAGAGGTGGAGGACATCCTAAATCTTTTTTTGTTTTTTATGTAAATGATAACATGCAATGGGAAACTCCAACTGGAAGCATTTAACCATGGCTCCGTGTACGTAGAAAAAAATCAAATCAGATGGAAACACACCTGCATGCAAATCACGCATCAAAAGACAATTGAAATTCTTACTGTCATTCATTGAAATTCATTACTGTCCCTTTCCAGTGACTTCTGTGCTTTGGATAGGTTCTATTAAGAGTTTCTGTTACTCTTACTATTTTAACTTGAGCTTGGAGGCCACAGACATTTATGCTTTTTTGATCTTCACAAATAAAATAATAATTTGCTTTGTTCCCTAACTTGTTTACAGTTTTTTTAATGTTTTTACAATGTGTGTTTTTTTCTACCTAGTTTCTTCTGTAAAGTCAAGGAAGTCTGCAGGAAGGAAAAAAAAAAAAGGAAGCTTTCAGTATGGGAAGTAAGTGCTGGAACTTTGGAGATCTGCAGCCATAAGATATCTACTTCTATACTGAGATTATCAATGACCTCTGCATTGTCTGAGAAGGGCTGGAAGAGGCAGGATCATAGGCAAAAGATAGACTTACTGTAAAACAATTCTTTGAATCAAACTGCGACTGATTGAAAGCAGAAAATATCTAGAAATGAAAGTGAGATGTCTGTGTAGGGCATTCAGCATTGTTGATTTGAATAGCAAGGAATAGAAATGGTCTGTTCATTGCTGCATAAAAAATTTGTTTACCAGTGATTAAATTATGTTCTGGTAAGTGTGATATTTGTGCAGCTCTTCAACAAATAAATATGGACTATATATGACAAATACTACATATGAGCCAAAAAACGAATTTCCTGAGAGAAATGCTGATTCAATAAGAGGATTGAATAGAGTGCAGAGGTTGTGTTTGCCATTGGTAGAAGTGCCCATGCATCATAGATTTCAAACACTGTATTCTCTGTTACAGCATGAAATGCAGCACATCTTTTCTTGCCTATCTGTTCCAAATACATACTGATGTTGTGCCTATGTACAGCTCTTCACATGTCTAATTTACATGCATGAATAGTCCCAGCAAGATGAATGGGGACAGCAACATGCCTGAGCTACCTAACTCAAGTTAAAGAATGTTCTTTCAACCTCCTCACAGAGACAGAAGATCTGTATTATTGCCACTGGAGACAAATATCAGTGTATCTAATAAACAGGAATTATCATAGTACAGGAATAGCATTGGCACAACCAGAGCTTAATAAATGCTGGAGACTGTTTCCAAAGCTTAAAAGTCCTGCGATCTATAATTAGGAGCATTTCCATATTTCTTGTTTTTTTTTTTTCAGATTTTTTTATGACTGTGAATGGTGTGTGATTATTGCAGACTGTTGCTGAAGCTGAATGATTTCTGGTGGATCTTGTCACTTGCTGCTCTATTTTGGCCACTCTGTTGGAGAAGACACACTTTGAACTTCTGGCTGGTTATCTTGTATAATGTGAGGCTAGGATCTCCCTGACTTGCACTCTCCAGGCAGCTTTTTCTCATGTTGTATTAGCATAAGGCTGCTGTGGGAGGTTTCTCCTCTCTGGCCAGCCCACTGACGAAGGGGTGTTCAGCCACTAGTGCCTGAGCCAGAAGAAGAGGAAATTGTGCCCTCCTCTGCATCTTGCATGCCATGTAAGAGGGCTCAGCATTGCTTCTGGTTTGTAGAGCAGGAAGGAGAGGTGCAGGGAGGCAAAATGCCCACTTCAGGATTTAGTCAGGGGTAGGAGTGTCCTGAGAAGCAGCAGGGTCCCAGAGAGGGGCAGTGCCTTCAGTCTCTGGGATATGAGCAATGGAATACCTCAGTGTTCCACAGCTACCTAGTCCCCATGCCTCCTTCAGCCTCAGTGCAGGCAGCCTGGTGCATCTACTCCTGGCTCAAGTGCCTAGTTTTTTGCCCATCCTGAGCTTGCAATGGAAAAATGCCTAAAAGCAGCCTGCAGCCCCAATTGCTGGGGACACATTCTGAGGGACAGGCTACTACCAACCCTGGCCATGCTCAGCCCTGAAGTCCTGGTGGTGACAGGTCCTTGGCCATGGCTGCAGGATGGGCGAGGACTGCTGTCCGGTGAGTGTCCGAACCATCCAATCAAGTGCTATGGGGTAAAAGTGTTGTGTGAAATGTTAGCACAGCCTGGCAGACCCCTCAGGACTGTTTCCAAAAAAGGGCTTCCCTGCTTATGCCCCAAATAAGCCAAAATGCCAGTTTGCAGAAAATCAGGTTTTTTTTAACTTTCTTTTATTATTATAGGGTGAGGAGTCACAAAGAGCTTTGAATATGTAAGCCAGGTTAGATTTTACTGTTGCTTAATTCTGCCATTTTTTTTTTCTTTTCAAAGTTTGTTGAGTACAGAGGTTATCAGTTAAAGCAATTTAGAATCATGGGATGCAAACAGCACTTGACTCACAGATATTTCTGCTGTTGAACTAAACCATGCTCAGGAAAAGGAGACAATCTCTCAGCAAAACAACTTTCAGTTGGTCAGTCTGCAAGGCTTCTAGATTAAGGAAAATGGGAACTATTTAGTACAGGATTGCCTTAAACAATACAATGTACTTCATCAGTGGATTACATCAGTAACTTAGTAAATTTTGCAAAGGTTTGAGCTGCAAATCTGTCTAGACAAGCAATTTACAGCACAGGAAACCCCTAAACCCCTAAACCACTGAATACTAATGTTGTAAACAGTCTGCTATCAAGGCTGGAAATGCAGACAGGGCCCTACTGTTCTGGAGGACCACCCACAATGAGAAAGAATTTGATATGGCAGCTAGCCTGAAAAACTTATTTGTGATATACTGGTATGTGGTAACAGCATGAAGGAGATGTCAGAGTGAGGAAAGCTTTGCCAAGGGAGCAGATGATGGAATTGGATTTGACAGTGACTGCAGCATGCAATTTTAAAAATGTCAGTCCTCCTAACACACCGCAGAAACACAGAGAAGCTGGAAATGGCCTCCATGTGGTTTCCACTGTGTCTTCTTTTCTTCTCCTTGTAATGGCACTTACAAGAATAACCAGTGAATCATAACTTGTGTGCAAAGGGCTGGTCCTTCCATCCTCCCTTCTATCCTCCCTTCCATCCTCCCTTCCTCCCTTCCTCCCTTCCTCCCTCCCTTCCTCCCTCCCTGCCTTCCTCCCTTCCTTCCTCCATTCCTTCTTCTTTCCTCACCTCCCTCCTTCCTTCCTTCCTTCCTGCCCTCCTTTCTTCCTTTTTTCCCCAAAAAGAAATTTGAATGAAAAAAAAACCTGACTAGCATTACTGGCTACTTGAGCAGCAATTACATTCCTCTCTCCCATTCTTTTCCCTCGGTCACTCTGCAGACTTTAGGGCTGAACAGTGCAGAGCATAATGGAGAACAAGGTAAAACACAGCATCACACACCAGGCTCCTGACTTGATTGCTTTGCTAGTACAAATGGAGAGTGAAATCCACTGGAGGTAGACCTGGTGCAGACTGTAAGTCCTTGAAGCACCAAGACAACTGAAATTATTACTTCCCTGTGAATGTAACAAAAATATGTTGAGCTCTCCCAGGAACATTTTAAAGATGCTAAGGATAGCAGAATTCTGTGAAGAGGAATAATGATGCTTGCTACTGTTTGACTTAATAAAACACAGGCCTATTTCAGCACAGACAACTGATAAACGATTTTATCTTATAAGCAACTACCAGCAAGAAATAATGCTAACAGCATTTTTGTGCAAAAATGCTTGGCCAAGTAGAGGAAGAAGCCAAGCTTAGTATTACTTTGACACGGACAGAAGTGTACTTAGAGATGAGAGAAGAAGAAAGAGCAAATGACTCCTGTACCTGGAACAACAAGGCTGAAGTGGTCAGAGGGCTGATACTCATATAGACTCTGTTTGTGGTGAGGTGATCATTAAAGCAATATGTCCCTCCACGGAGACAAGACATTCACCCTGCATCAGGAATACAAAGGTACGAAGACCCTTCCATGGAAGACTTGCTAGCACAAGTGCAGGGAAAACTCATTAATATTACTGCTATGTAGTGACTTGGAATACGGTGCACTGCAAATGCTGGAAAATATAATTCTTGACCTAAGAAACATACTGTTTAAAGTAACTGCTTGGGGAAAAAAAGAGAAGGAGAAAGAGAAGGAGAAAGAGATGCAGTAAGTAACAGTATTGTAACTGCATTTCAGATGAAGACATAGTGTGGAAATCCAGTTTGCTTAGTTAGGTGCTAACATAATAGGTTACTTGAAGTAGCACAAATTTGTCGCAATAAAAGATTGATAGTATTAATAAGACCAATTGATACCTCTTTTTAAACATCAAAACTGCTGTTACTGAAGCTAAGAGAACAAACTCTTAAATGTCAGTGTACGACAGGAACACTGACATGTTTTCTGGGAACAAGGGGTACATTGTTCTCATTTCTGAGGCCACTGCTTGGCCTGGGACGCACCCGGGCTTGCCAGGAATGTGCTCTACGGAACCAGGAAGGGCGAGGGAGGCGAGTCCCGTCAACTTGAAGCCTTTCTTCTGAGTCAAGGCAAGCGCCCGGCCTCACCGCTAGCGGGAGGACGCAGCCACCTCACTATAGCTTCTGCACGGAAAATACAGCCAGCCATGTCACAAATCGACAGAAACTGTATTTATTCAGAAGCACACCAAACCCGAGACTAAGTCACTCGAAAAAGTAGATCTGTATCTTTTATGTGCGCTACTGCCTAAATAAAAGGGATTAAAATTCAGGGGGAGTCCTGCAGCTGTCTGAGCGCACATGGCCGGAGGGGGGCACTAGGACCTCAGAATACAACCTCAGCAGACGTGATCCCCTTTGGCTCTTCTGATGTCGTGGTAAACTTCAGACCTTTAACTTCACCCTCCACGAGCATGTACAGTCCCTTCTCTCCTCTCCCCTCCCCTCTGCTCCCTTCGTCCTGCTCCTTCCCTCCGCTCCCTCCCTTCCACTTCCTCCCTTCCTCTCACTCCCCTGCCTTCCCCTCCCTTTCCCTCCACTCCCGTTCCCTTCCCCCCCTCCATCTTTTTCCTCCTCCTTTCCTCCCTTCATCCCTTACCTCCCTTCCTTCCCTCCCTTCCTTCCATCCTTCCCTTCCTTCTTCTCTTCCTTCTTTTTTCTTTAGAAAAAAAGAAAACCAAGACCAAATCAAATCCTGATTTTCTCAATCAAGAGGTGTACACTGCACAGTTTAAGGCAAGGCTGTTTTTCTTGAGCAAGAGCTCATTGAAACCCTAGTAAAGTCATCAGAGCTTGAGATCTTTGTTGTGAGCATGTTATTCACAGACCATAGCACAGTTCAGCTCCATACTGAGCTGGAAAATCTGATGATTCCCCAAGAGTCCTGTCTTTTATACACTTTCTAACAGTGTACCATCCACAATAATAACTTCCTAAAGAGCAAACTGGGCAAGATAATAGCAAAAGCCCACTTATGTCAATACTGTGTTGAAGAAGGTTCAGCACAACAGGAAATCAGCCCACAGGAGCATATCTGCTTCTGCTTTTTGTCTTCTCTTCTTTCAGATTATTATTATTATTATTATTATTATTGAGTCCCCTATGCTGTCTGTTCCCATCCACAAGTTGACATATTTCCAGGAGTTGGAACACCTGACTGTTTCACAGGTTCTTATCATTCCCTGTGCCCCACACAAATAGAAATACTTACAGATCTTGCTCTGGGAGAGCAAACAATGACATCAGATACTAAAATACCTTTTTGCCTTTAAAGAATACGAAAAAAAAAAATGTCTTCATTCTTGCTGTTGAAAAGTAGCTATATTTGCCTTTTGTTACAGATTCAGACTACTGTTGTATTTGTCTAACATCCACAATATGTAACGCTGCTTTAATGCATTGATCACATTTCACAGTATTACTCTTTTCAGTGTTATCTTTCCTTGACTAGTAACTTTTGGAAATATAAGCAATTTGTAGCTCTGCCTTTTTATTCATCTCATTTTCCACCTGTAACTCCTTTCTAACCTACTCCACTTTTCGCCCTCCAGCTGAATTCTGTCAGCTGAGCAGAACTGGTGATTTCAGATCAAAATCAGTGTTTCGTTTGAAGCAGGATGCTGATCTCACAGATGCTACCATAATGGCGTTCTTCCTTCTGCATGAGCAGAAGGTACTGGCGGAACCTGACAGCAGTTGTGAGAATGAAAAGGAGAGGAAGTGGGCAGAAAAAGGAACTGTGTTTCACCATTAGTGGCCAAAATGAGGCCAGAGTTCCCTGCACAGCTGTAAGTGGCCTGGAGGCAGACTCAGGGCTGCAGAGGCCTTGGAGCAAGGCCTCATGCTGTCCTCAGCAGCACAATCAGGCAGTCTCACACAGAGCTCTCACCAGCACTTTTTAAGCACACATATTCCAAATCACGTTAAACTGAAAAGTCCAGGTCTGACTTTTTAAAAATGGAAAAGAGGTTCTGAGTTGATGTGAGAATTACAAGACAAGCAATGTTTGTAACTTGAGCCAGTTTAACTCACCTGATGGCATAATGTGTTTCAAAAATGTAAAACCTAATTCCAGGTCAGTTGATCCATCTGAAGTGGTTCATTCCAGTAAACTGACAGGCAGGGACGTTTTGCTGCAGCTAGGAATGTGATTGCCTCTTCTATTGTCTTCCTTTGAT